TATTCTATGCGTACCTCAATCAAGGAGTGTGTATGCTAATCTAGGGTTTGGCGACACCTACAGTAAAATGCCAGTAAAATAGGGCACATAGCCACCATGTTCGAAGACTCAACGTGTGGATCGTCCGCAGGCATTACTAGGTTGCAAACAAATAAACCTATCTATAACTACATATACTATGCAATAGCTCTTTGCATACACATGCTACGTGTATATCTTAGTCCAGCCGAGTGTACTGATAGAGCTGTCTGGCATTGATCCACCTACAGCAGAACAGCGTGACCAGTGAAAGGAGAATGGTGCACATCGCCACTATGTACGAAGGACCGATGTGTGTGTCGTCCGGACACACAAACCCGTAGTTCTCCGCGAAGAGGAACACGGTCAACGTCAGCAAGACAGCCTGTGTAATACAAACCCAAGGACATACGGGATCAGCATGGAGACCTTACCAACTACACAACATGCTTAATGTGTAGTGCTGGTGTGTTGCAGTGGTGAATATTAGACGACTATGTATCGGCCTTGTCAGCGTAGTCTGTACAACGCAGGAAGATAAGGCACATCAACCAAATATAGTAGTATAGTCAAATGAACACACGTATCTGTAAGCCAAATCAACAACCAAATATAGTAGTACAGTCAAACACAAACACAGACACCCCTAAGCCAACAACTAGATATAGTAGTATAGTCAAATGCACACACACGCACCTGCAAGCCAAACCAACAACAAAATACAGTAGCATAGTCAAATGAACACACACGCACCTGCAAGCCCAGAAACGCTACGTTGGTACTTCCGATGCGAGTGAACAGACCGAAGAACAGGTTGTACAGCGAGCACAGTCCAAGACCAATGGCAAACAGCAAACACGAGGCCATAACCTACCAGGAAAGATAGAATGATTAGCGAAGGAAAGATATAATGAATAGCGATCAAGGAAAGATATAATGAATAGAGAAGGAAAATATAATGGTGAGCGAAGGAAAGATATAATAATTAGCGAAGGAAAGATATAATGAATAGCGATC